TATCATTATCGGGACTATCATCATCACCACCACAATCATCATCATCAATACAACGTGTCCACAATCATCATCATCAATACAACGTGTCCAGACGCATATCATCATCATCATAATCATCGTCATCATCATCATCATTATCGTCATCACCACTATCATCCTCATCACCACCACCACCACCACAATCATCATCAGTATAACGTGTCCAGACGCATATCATCATCATCAGCACTTCAGCATGATTACTTCGCCTGTCTGGGACCTGAAGTTCATAAATTGGCCGATAGTTAGTTATGATGATGATGGTGGTGGTGGTGATGATGATTGTGAGGGTTATGATGATGATGGTGAGGGTGATGATGATGATGGTGAGGGTTATGATGATGATGGTGAGGGTGATGATGATGATTGTGAGGGTTATGATGATGATGGTGTTGATGATGATAATGTTGATTAGTTTTGTCATCAGCGAACGCCTCACAACTGTCATCATCAATTTCATCATCATCTTGTCATCATCATCATCGTCGTCGTCACCATATTATTATTATCACCATCGTCATCATCATCACCACCATCGTCATCATCATCACCACCATCGTCATCGTCATCACCACCATCGTCATCAGCTGATTCGATATTTCGAGTGGCCGGCCTCCAGCTGCACAGGGATCCAGGTCTGGCAGCCTCCTCCTCTTCTTCATCTTCATCCTCCTCTCATAAGAGGAATAAAACAAGTCATGATGATGATGATCGTGATGGTGGTGAAGATGATGATGGTGGTGATGATGATGATGATGATTATTATTATTATTATTATGATGGTGATTATGGTGGTTGTGATGATGATGATGATGGTGGTGGAGATGATTGTGATGGTGATGATGATGCTGTAGGCAATGATGATGATAATGATGTTTTTAATGAATTGTTAGGAGTGAAATATTGGAGGCAGAGTGTCGTCTTCTGAGCTGAAGATGATGACGAAAATGAAGGTCAACATCATCATCGTCGTCGTCGTCATCATTATCAACATCATCATCACCATCATCATTATTATTAACGATTGCATCATCATCATCAACGACCCAATCAATGAATTAGATTTAATTCTTACTTACATACACATACACACACACATACACACACACACACACATATCTACACACACATACACATACATAAATACATACATATATACAAACCTCAATTAAATGCTATAAACACACAAATGATTTTAAATTAATCATCATCGAATGATACTATCTTTATGTTAATTTATATATATATATATATATACTATAAGAGTTCAGTTACTGTTGACACTTCATTTTTAATGAACATCCTATCATGCTTTAAATAGATTTTACTTTTAAATTTAAATTTTTTTTTTAATTTCCGTGTTGGTTAGCTTAGTTTTTTTTTGTTGTTGTTCGTTGCTGCTGTTCAGTATTTATGAAATTCATTTCGCATATTTGTAATCTTTTTAAATTTTATTTTATTAGTTTCCTGATTCTTTTGTGTGGATAATGATGATGTTCAGAGAATTTTTATGATCTTTTATTGGGAAATTTACATCATATATATATATATATATATATATATATATATATATATATATATATATATATATATATATATATATGTTTGTGTGAATGTATGTTAATTTAATGTTCTTTTTATTTTGGAATGTTTCCGATGATCTTTTTGATAAGCTGAAATGTTCATATGTATTTACACACACACACACACACAGTTTGTGTATACACGCACAATACACACACACACATATACACACAAACTCACACATACATAGCCACACACACACACATACACACACGAAACGAAACAAAATTTATTTTATTTGCTTCTCAAGATTAAAAAAAAGCAGGAAGGCCGTATTAGAATTCATATAATTCATATTTATACACGCACACACACACACATACATATACACACAAACTAACACATACATAGCCAAACACACACACACACACACACACGAACGTACATATAGGCTAACTTGTTTAGATATTGTATTGTATTTGTGACATCGTTGAAAATAGAATTAGATTCAGGACGATGTTCCTTCATTCTGTTTCTCTATATTCTCATGGTTCATTCATTTGAAGAAGCGTTCTTGCGTTAATCTTCTCATACTTTACTTCTGCTACTGCTACTACTACTACTGCTGCTGCTGCTGCTGCTGCTACTAATAATACTATTCCTATTACTACTACTACTACTACTACTACAACTTTTGCCGTTAGTTTTACCACTAGTTCGACTGATACTACTATCATTACTACTGCTGCTGCTACTGCTGCTACTACTGTTACTACAACTGCCTTATAAAACTCTGCAACTGTAGAGCATAAATTCTCCGAATGGCCATCAATTTGGTCCTACACTATGAGTGAGAGGTTGTTTTTTGGGAAAAATTCTTCATTTCTGCCTGATTCTTAATAATAAATTTCCCTCCTAACGTATAACATCCAACAATTCTTGCTCTCCCTGGAGTATGAAAAGCACTGCCGACTTGCAATGCTGCTCTTTTCGTAGTTAATCTATAGTTTAAATTACAAGTTACTGCTGATACTATGTTATTATTATTATTATTGTTGTTATTATTATTATTATTATTAACATTTATTTATTGTCTGAATTGTATTTTTGTTACTTCGAATCGTATGTCATATTATTTATTAAGGATACATGTACTATAGATATATATCTAAATATTTCTGTACATACACGCATATATCATTCTATATAGCTGTCATATCATGTTAATAATTATAACAACAATACTTCTAATGTTATTATTATTATTTTTGCTATAATTATTATTATTAATTATTATTTACTAGTCGCATTTTTGGTTTATCATATTTTTCTAAATTAATTCAAATTTTGGATTGATTGATTGATTGATGGATTTATTGATTGATTGGTTGATTGATTGATTGATTGATTGATTGATTGGTTGGTTGATTGATTGATTGATTGATTGATTGGTTGGTTGGTTTGGTTGGTTGGTTGGTTGGTTGGTTGGTTGGTTGGTTGGTTGGTTGGTTGGTTGGTTGGTTGGTTGGTTGGTTGGTTGGTTGGTTGGTTGGTTGGTTGGTTGGTTGGTTGGTTGGATGGATAGTTGATTGGTTGATTAAATAATTGTGTTTTGATTGGTTCAATGATATATACATTCATTCACTTATTTGTTCGTTCGTTCGATCGTTCGTTCAACATTCATCCAATCATGAACCTCATCTTAAATTACTGATTTGTAATTTTTAACTCTCATCACCTCAATCGTATTCTTCTTCACAGAAGACTTTTTTAACGATATCATCCTCATCATCGTCGTCATCAGCATCACTATCAGTATCGTAATTGTGATCATTATCATCATGGCTACTATGATCATGAACGTTTCCAGCCTCATCATCATCATCATCATCATCATCATCA